CGCAAACTGTAATGGTAAAGGAAAATATTATTTTGAATTTATTCGAAAATTTAATAATACTCGCAAAAAATAGGCAAATGGCGGAGATTTATTGCAAGTGCATTTTAAATTACTCATACGCCCTGTACTACACACATTGCCTTGTGATGAAAGCAAACGAAAAATCAAATCAAAGCTAAATTTTCAACAATTGATTAATAACTACGTAAAAATGTATGTTTGATCAAGTCGTGATTAATATGTAGGTAAATTATTTGATATTTTGTGATGTGGTACTTAGTTGGGACTACAACGAATGCAAAATAAAAACATAGAATTTGTTTAATAAAATAAAAAGGTTCTTATAAAAAACAAAAAAACAAAAAACTGCACAGATAGGACAAATACATCAAGGTGGTACTTAAAATGTATACGGTATGGGGCACCCCATTATTTTGTTTACGCACAAAATAAATACATCCACGAAAATTTTAGGGGGAAAAATTTAAATTTTTTAAATCGAAAAATACGATAAAATTTTGACTTGAATATCATTGAAATATGTTTACATAAATTACTAAACTCTCTGAGTTACAACCGCTCAAAGCAAAAAATTTTTAGAATTTTTGCCATTAAAAATATCAATTTTTTGAGCACAGGTGAATCACAAAATATTTTTTTTTTGAAATTTTCGTGGATGTGTTTTTTTGATATTTTGACTTTGTTGATATCTTAAGTACCACCCTAATAAACCTAGACCTGTGTATGTTTATGTATATAAATAACACGCATTTGTAAAAGTTTAGACATATATAAACATATCAATATTGAAAAAGTAAATAAAAAATTTACACAAATATGTTATCATACACATACAGAGTTGCACAGTTGCATATACATAAACAGCTGCTGAATTTCATGAAGAAGCACGCAACAATTATATTAATGCAGATAGATACGCACATTTGACATAGACACACACACACACTCAAATTCACATAAAATCGCATGAAAAGTTTTATACTTAAAATGTTTACATATGTGTATGTGTTTCGCATTTTTTGTGGTTATATTTTCAGCGTTTTTTCCCAGGTAAACACTAGCAATAGCAGAGCACATACATTTAATATATACATGTAGATATGTATGGATGTAGGTATTCATATATACATACATGTATTCATCATACATACACACATATATACATAGGGGGAAGTGAGGACAGAAAACCAAGCAAAAATTTGTTTTCATCTGATTTTCGGTTGAATTTCATTTCAAAATGGTTTATTTGCTGTTTGTTTAGTTTTTGTTGTGTTTGTTATTTTTTTAACTGTTGATATTTGTCTGTTGCTGCGAATTCAGTCGAGTTTTTAGTTGTATCGTTGCATAAAATTTTTGAATGCTATTTCTATGGGATTTTGTTTTTTAATAAATAAAATTTCGTGATTTTTTGCCTTAAAACCTAACAAAGCAAAATTTTGTGCCATAAAATTCAGATGTTTAATTGTAAGAAAATAAAAGCCCCATAAATGGAATTTAGTGAAAATTTTGATAACAGATTGTGATGTTAGTTAGTAGAAATTAACTAAAATTGAAAAGCAAAAAATTTGATATTTAACTGAAAGTAGGAGTACCTGTGTAAATATTTTTACTTGAGCAGCGTGTATTGTAAATCGCGAAATAATAGATTTGGCTATAACTGGCAGCTTTATAATTTTTTTTATTACAATATAGAAAACTGTGAACCGATATTTGAAACCAACAGTCGGATTCGATAATTCGATAATCCGCTATCGCTAATTTTGATCGTCAAAAATCTCCAAAAAATATCAGACGCGCCTAACAACATGCAACATATAGTCACATGGCCCTCATACAGCTGAATCTAATGGCTTGCACATTGCATCTATTACTTTTTCATGTTGTATACTTTTAGGCCCCACTGCCTTTCATTTAAGGACTTTTGGTGATGAATATTAAGCGCAGCGTTTGGCAGAATTCCACTGCCGAATAGTACAATGCTAATCGAAATATTTATCTAAAAAGAATGGCAACTCATAGAAATATACTCCTTTTAGGCCTGAAACTATGCAGCGAATAACTTTTATTAAATTTGTGTGCATTTATTTAGCGCTTGAATCTAATTTTTGCGGCATAGTTTTGTACAAAAAAGCTGCCATAATGCCAGTAATGAATTAAAACAAAACACATAGTATACTTTAAGGGTACTTTTTTCTAATTTCTTGTTTAATATTCGAGTTTCACAATCATTTAAATTTTAGCCAAATCCACCATTTATAATTTCAAATTATAATTGGAAATAATGTTTCTTTTTAAAATTCCACGTGTGGCCATATAAGAGCATATGTAGTGCTTGTTGTAGTAGATAAATTTTGCACAATAATGTAAGCATCATAAAAGCTTTTAGAAACAATTGTTATTATTTAGATGTAAAAAAGGTGGAACAAACCAAAGATTAAATATTAAAAATAAACAAAAATTATTTGAATTTTTAGCGTTTTAAATTTTTACTAAAATTTTTAAAATTCTTTAAATCAAAAAAAAAGTATTGCTAACAATTACATAGCGCGCTGTATCCGAAACTGCAAAAAAACTCAATAGTGAGTACTTCCTAACCCCAAAAGGTTTATCATAAATTCGGGTACTATATTTTTGACTAAAAATGTGACAAATTTTCCTATATTCATTGCATATCTTACGCTGGACTTTCTGTCTATAATAGGAACCATTACATAGATGAATTGTCCAGAGAAGCTTTCTGTGCCCGTTACGAATGCACAAGAGCTTTTGGAAGGTCTAAGTACTTATCACAGGTACTTTACCCTACACACTAACAAGGCTCTTATAACTATCCTAGACCTTCCGATAGGTTTTCAGACTAGCTGAGGTGCAAGTTTTCATCAAGATTCCAAGTGAAAAGCGAATAAAATAACGCCAAACTCCTGGACTATCCAAAGTACTGTTGCAATTATCGCTGATAACCTTAGGCTAAAGAATAAAGTCCACACCGACATCCATTCGAAGAAACTAATACTTTCTGTTTCAACAACTACTGTCTTAACCTTGAATCGGATAATTCCATGAGAGGACAGTAACGGTTCCCTTAATCACTTTTTAATCAGATTTTTTTTAATTTTTTTGAGTATGCAGATTTGTCAATTCTATTATAATAAAGTGCAAGTTTTAAGTAGCTAGGAATTACCGTTGATTTTTGGCAATATTTTCACGCAGTCTCTTTCATACAAAAAATTTTTTTCGAAAATACTTCATATGGAAAAAATGCAAAACATCTTCAACAAAAAAAAAAAAATTCTCAAAAATCAACGCGATTTTTGACTAATTTCGGGCTTGCATGTTCTATTAGAATTTAATGGGCTGCAAAACTGCATACTCAAAAAAATTCTAAAAACTCTGATTAAAAAGTTGAAAATTTTGATGAAAATATCGCGAGTTTTGAACAAAGTTTAGGAACTATATTTTTATGTTTTTTGTCTTGAATTAACCATATTTTTACACAAAATTGGCGGAAAAATATTAGTAAACAATTGTTGCATATATTGTGAAAAATTTGCTGTGCCAATACTTTGTTGTGGCAGTGTATGAATTTTCAGGTTTACTCAATAAATTTTTCCCTATTTGACCTTTAAATTACCTCGAACCTGACATGATGGGGGCTAACAGACCTCGGATCCGGGTTCAGCAAGTACATAGTGATATAGAGGTTAGGTTCAATATGCAGAAACTTTTTTTTTTGGTAAAAATGTGTAATTGGAAAATAAAAATATTAATCAAATGAAGTTGAGCATGAAACTAAAATACATTTCAAATCCAGAAATTTTCGAAAAATTTGTTTTTTTTTTAATTATGTAAGTACGAGTATTTCGCAAAGACTAATATTCTATTACTTTGCCGTATTTAATGTATTTTCTCTTTTTGCTTTTTGTGCTGCTTACACTATTGTATAAAATTCTTTGTTTTCTTTGTTGTTGCTGTTATACCTAAATAAATAATTTTCGTGTTTCGTTATTCGTTTTTGGTTTCTGTTTTTTTGTTCTTGTTTGTGATTTTTTTTGTTTCTTCTTCTTATGATTTTGCTTGGTACTCTACCTGTAGCAAACCGCCAGAGTTGCGAAACTAATGAAGACGCATTTCACGATAACGGTTAATATGATGACCATGGTTAATGTGCTGATCCTATTTTGGTCTGAGGTGCCTGTAAAATGTCGGATGGAAGGAAGGATCGTTTCCAATTCATTCAATAACAGTTACTCAATTCAATTAAGGTTTAATTAAAATAAGGTTTTCTTTTTGAAATTTAAATAATTTTGAATTTTTTTTGAGTTTGTTTGTAAATGCAATGAGAGCACAATAAAATGCAGTACAAGACTTTATTATAACAGTTAGTTTGTTCTAGAATATTTTCACTTTAAACTTTTGTGTATAAAACGTAAGTAAAAAAAAAAAACGAATATGTACTCAGAATATTTTGAAAATAGAAAATAGTAATATAAATTACTTAGGTATGTATGTATATACATTAGGGCGGGCCATTTTTTACGATGCGCATATAGCACATAATGATTTTATGTGTAATTTTAAGCTAATTTGCCGAAGAAACCATGGGTCTAAAATCAATTTGGAGTTTGCCAAATCGCGAAAATTGGTTTCGAAGGGAATATGAAAATTTTCACTGTTAAGCCCTCTAGTGGAAGCTTTAAGAAAAAGATAATTGCAAAAATGGATTCCTCATACCAAAAAACCCTTCTGGCATATTTTAATACAAAATATTAGCACTACAGCAAAATGCTAAGAAACTTTTTTCGCAATTTGCCAAACTCCAAATTGATTTTAGACCCATAGTTTCTTCGGCAAGTTTGCTTAGAATTACAAGTAGAATCCCCCTATGCATTGCCGAAAAAAATCTCCCATACAAATTTACCCCCCCTAATGCACATATTGTTTTGCAGTTTTAAAGTCACCTATGCATATTATTAGATTTTTTTCTTACCATTGGCTTACCATAGCGCAAAAGGGCAAAAAGCAGCACATATTTTATCTAGTTTAATTGACAAATTTTAATGCTTACTAGGGAATTGGGGGATTTTTGCTTTATAAGCTGCATTTGCAAGTGCTAAGAGCGCAAATACGGTTGATATTTTCCATGTGCACTTGTACAGGTTTGTCTTACTTTTTATTTTTATATGCACGTATGTGCATAATAATATTTTTTATTGGCTATTGATGACCTAGTGATAGTGTTTGTCATTGCTAATATTTAAAGGGAGCATCAGCTGCTCCCTTTTTGTTTTTGGTGTAAACAATTGTTGCTTCTGGCGTGATTACCATTGTCATATCACAGAAGGATTTGTGAAAAAAAATTCGATATGGAAGCAGTGAAATATTGTTTAGAGGAGGATGTTTGGGAATTCTTCGAAATTTGAGTTACATTTTTAATAAAATACTCTTCAAAGGATTTTATACTACGGAAAAGAGAAAATTTTTTATAAAGCATACTCGTATACATATATATGATAATACTAATTTTTAGCAACACTATTATGCGTTTAAATGTACAAATAGTTTTTATAATGGTTTTTTTAAATTGACATCCCTTCTTTTGTTGTTTTTTTTTAAATTTAGTTAAGGCGCTCGCATTCTCGTTTTTCGTCACATTAGAGTAATTTTAAATTCCGAATAAATTGCTGACAATATATTTCTCTTACTCTCAAAAAAAAAAAATTTAAGATAGTGAAATAATTTTTGCAATTAATTTAATATTTTGAATCAATTAGTTACACCGTTTTATACTTATAAATATTTAGTTTTAACTTGTATATACATATATTTTCCCTCTTCTTGTTAAAATACTCTTGCAGTTTATAGAATAACTAATATGGTTTAATAATTTGATATTATTTGTACAATGCATTAAAAATAACGCTACAGGAATACGAGGAAGGGATATTAATTTACTTCAAAAATAAATTAAATTTTTTCATTTCAAAAGCTTGTTAAAAATCTACGCAATGTTGGGTTTATTAGCATAGTGGCATATTTTTCCTTTCAACTTTTTTTTTATGTCGCGCAGTACTATGCAACATTTCACTGCTTTGTAGCATTTTCCTATACTATATTACTGTTAACGTTTTCTTTAATAAATCCTAGTGTATATCGTCGGCTGAGTGGAAGGTCGACCTATCTCTTCAGCTCGTTTGAAAAGACTCTATCTCAGAATAATTTTCAAGAAGGCCCTATTTCAGAATTTAATTGAAAAACGCCCTACCTCAAATGGATATATACTGAAAATATGCTGAGTTAGGGCGTTTTTCAATCGGCAGCTGGGATAGGGCGTTCTCCAACCAAATTCTGAAATAGGGCTGGCTGCCGAGCTTTTGTCGCACTCCCACTCCACCATCGATATAAATCCTAAAAATTATTTTAGGATGGCAAGGATGCAAAGCCAAAATGATAAACCAAAATCAAATTTTAAATTAAAGATGTAAGTTTTGGCTATTTTTAAAGCAGGTAAATAATAAAATAAGAAATATGACATGTATAAAATTGAATAAACATAGAAACAACTTGTGAGACTTCGAAAATTTCTATTCGATTTTACAACGTAAAAACCACCAACTATTGGGGTACAAAAGCAAGCTAGCTCTGATGCGGAATGTTGCATATTTAGAAGACAGTGCTTTGGGCGCGCTGAGCACCTTCAGTCTCACTGCTCAAGATTCTGCCGTCGCGGGTTATGGTTCTTGACTCTGTATTTTTTCTCTGTGGCAAATCCAGTCGATCAATAGATCACAAAAAAGGTTAAAAACCCGCAAAAGTGTGCACCGCATCCATAAGAACTCTTGGCGAAATTAAGGAACAGTTGAGTTCTTTGTGAGGTATTTACTAGGACCTAACCTAATCTAATACTTAGCTAAAAGCGACATTTTTTCTGGGTGAGAAAAAGTTATTAGCACGACTTAAACAAAGAAATGTCGTACTTAAATCTGCTAGAGACAATCATAGCACAGAATAGCGTTGGTTAGGTCCGCTTATGTGTGAACTTTGATGTATAAGCCGAATTTTAATGACAATAAGCTATTGTATTGTAGGGTATTGCTGTATTGTAAGAGATTTTCTGTTGTTTACTTTTGAACATACTTATGTAAAAGCAGATTATTTCCTTATCCGATTAACTCAAAGTCAATTTACGCCTGCGTAGATGTTTGCGGCTCTATACCTTTGGTTACATACGACACAATTGACGTCTGTCGCAGACTTAAATAAAGGCAGCCTTAATTTACTGCAAAATTAGTTTCAACGATTTTTCGTTAGCTCTGTGAGCTTTAGAATATCTCCTTATGAGTTGTAATTGAATAGTTAAAAATTATTTTCTTACTTGAGCGAATATATGTAAATGATATATCGAATTTTGTTTTTATTTTAATTTGCTTACCCTTTCATAAATCAGACCTCACTGATAGAAGTAAATTTTGTCGGCAAATTTTTGAATTATTAAGAGCTCAGCTTTAGAAGGAATGCAATTAAATGTAGGCGGTGCGTTGCCGCATTGGCTAAAGGTCAATAAAAGGGGAGTTCGAACCCAAAGGTTACCGCCCAATACTTAGGAAATAAGATATGTGGCAGGAAAATATAAACTGAAAACACACATTGCGGAAATTTTATTGCACTTTTTGTGCTTGCTATGGAAAATTACATGAGGTTTTTGTGTGCCCTTTAGTGGCAGCCTTGGAAGGGTCCAATTCTGCTTTTGCAAGCATTCCTAGCATCACCAGGCTGTAGATGAGCTGGTAGTTTCCGGAGCGGGCACCAAAAGGTGCAGGCTTTCGAATTGGGCATTTTACACCGGAAGATGCACCCCCAATATTTTTGTATTTGTTTGTCTGTGTTAGACAGGCAGGCCTTAGCGGAAAGTATGGATGGAAAGGTCAGTAGAGGAATGATAAAACATAAAAAATTGAACTAACATAAATAGTTAATACTTATATGAAAATATATGAAAATTACACTTTTTAGAGAATAATCGTTTTTTTTTTAACTCCCAGCTACCAATAGCTGCTTGAAAAAGCAAAAACAAAAAAAAAACAATTCCATTTTAAGAACACTTTTGACTTTGCATCCTGCGTTCTTAATTTGAGTATCCTTTATGCATTTTTTT